AGAAGAAAACTGGGATATTTGCAATAATAATTTCACACAAACAGATATACATACAAACTAATGTACTTCTGTCGTTATCTGAAAATTTGAATTCGTCATGGTCGCGCGGGTCGCGCGTAATATTCCGTCAGCCACTCACAACGAAGCGCTTGCTCGCCTTTCCCTCTCTGCATATACTGACTTGTGTAAAAATACCTTGTGTCGTGCAACGTGGTACAACGTGCAAGTGAGTTTTGAGATTACGAACGAAAACGTGAATTGCACGAGAACGAACAGTAAGTATTATGTGTGCCTAGAGATAGGAGAGTGGAGAGAAAGCCAAGGTATAGTTTTAAGGTATAAGTTTTACTTGCTTGAAGAGAATATTTGATTAGCAACCACTTAATTTCCTTATTATTGCAAAGAGTCTGCGAAGAGATGTTATTAAAACAAACCAAAATTTTGTTTAAAGTTTACAGGTGTGTTGTAAAAATTTTATTGTGTTCAATTAAAATAAAAAAGTATTTATAGTTTAATTGCATTGGTGTCCGTTATTTATACTTGTATGCATTTAAGTACAAGTATATACCCATACTTAAACAACATATTTTCGTAGTACGGCATTAGTGCATCGTTGCAACGTAACATAATGGATTTCTTACGGACGTTTTTTTTTGAAAAAGGATTTATGTCAGTAAAAATAGTATAAAATGTAAACAAATATGCGCGTTTTAATTTTGTTTTTGTCATTATTATAAAATATTTGTTTACTTTTAATTACACTATTTTTACTGACATGAAAATATATTTTACTAAATAAAATACAACAATAACGTACTAAGGACGTATAGAAGACGTAGTAATGTCACGATAATGACGTACTAACGACGTACCAACGACATACGACGGCGTCCTAAAGATGTACAAAGGATGTACTAAGGACGTACAGAGGACGTCTAAGGGCGGTACATTGTACGTACAAATGACATCTACTGAACGTTCTCGGAACATGTCTGGTACGTCATCTGGACGTCCGTACATGTCGAGTGGGACGTCCTATAGACATCCATCGAACGTCGAATTGTTGTATGGGAAGTAATTTTTATAATGTTGACGTGTCTATATGGCACGTGTGTAAATATGAAATGTAAATATGAAGTCAGCTGATGCTTATATTCTTGCATTTTTGTGGTAAATAAATAATAATTTTTTTCTATTTTATAGTTATAAGAATTAAATTTCAGGTAACGTTGGCAACAAATCTACTTTTCACAGTGTAGTTAATCACTTTGACAAATGACAAAATCTACATTGCTTAACTACAATCCCAGACAACACGCATGTCTACAGATATCTAAAAGACGTCTGAAAGAAAAATGCCGTCTTTTGAACATCTTTCAGATATCTTTAAGACATGCGTATTGTCTGAGAAGAATAGAGTCCTAAATTTCTTAATTAACTTACCTCTTTTAGTAATTTTTTTTTCCAAAAATTAATAAAGAAAAACAAGATTTAGCTGACTTTATTTTAAACAAATAATGAATATTTATGAATATTGTAACAATTGCTTTATTACATAATGCTTATATTTATATTTTTTACTCCTAGATTGCTTAGTAATTTTAGTGTAGTTGGATGCATGGACACTACTTACGTAAACAGTAAATGTCCAAAACATAAATTACTTTTAACGTATGTCAATTGACACGACCAAACATCTGTCAGTTTACAGTGCATTTGTGATGCAAATCGGAAGTTCCTAGACTGTTTTACTGGTGTTCCATGGACAAATTGCTTAATGATTCTAGAACAGGGGTGCCCAACCAGATCGATTGCGATCTACCTGTCGATCGCGACGTACTTTTTGATAGATCTTTTTCAGATTTCGATTTTTAATTTGTTTCATTCTATTACAGAATTTATATTTGTAATTTTGATACTTATTTTGTTCTTATTAATTTATATTACGACATTTACTTTGTCTCTATTGATATGTTTGATAAACGTTGAAATCACATCCTAATTTTGTATTTTTTCTCCGTACATGTAGGATAGATCGCGAGGTTACTCTACTAAAAAAGTAGCTTCTATGTACAAAAAGGTTGAGCAGCACTGTACAAAAGGTTGTGAACATTTCATTTATCATTTATTTATCCATTTGCACATCAGTTGGGTAATGATTTTCATCTTTTGAGTGATGTTGCATATTCTATTTGTACTAACGTTTTAACTTTATATAGAAATTATGGAAATTTAACTAATGGTAGAAAAAATTTAAATCACAAATTTAGCATGACTCTGGTTAGAATAAAAAATGTCTTCGGTATTTTAAAAACTCGATTTCGTCATGCCGATGCTCAGTCGGATTTTTGAAACAAAACTATCATCTAATGACTGAAATTTTCCTAATTGCTCCTTGGACTTCGCGTCGGCTATTACCAGATATACAATTGTGATCACTAGCAATTATTGCATCTCTTTTAATATGCTTGAAACGATTACAGCATTTATCTATATTATATTTAACTTTAAATTTATGCAAAAGTTCCTCAAATATTTTTGTTTTTTACATTTCATTCAAATTTTTAAATTTTTTTAGAGGTCCTATTTATAGCCAATATTTATAATATAAACTTAAAGATTCTAAAACGTTGAAATTTTAAGACGTTACGACTTTTTCAGACGTTTTTTAGATGTCTAACAAGATGCGTGTTGTCTAAAAATTTGTGAAACTGCAATCATACTTTACATTTGCAAACAATACGTTCTCAACAAATTATCAACTACAAGTAGCCATTAACAATAAAGTAAACAGAAGTCTTATTTTACTTAATATAAAATAAACGTTATTTATTGCAGAAAAATATTTAATTATTATTATTAATAATATTAATGAAGAAAATAGAAGAAAATACCTATCTAAGCATGCAAGCACGCGCGCGTGAATTTTAGCGCGTGTTCCTACTTCATGTCACATGGCCCATTTTAGTTCTCCGGGGATATTGAAGGTGTCGCTAAAACTAGCTCCTACTTTTACCTTCTACTTCATTGCTATTTTGAAAAGCGTGTTATGGCATGTATAGAGTTGAATATGTTTTTATAATCAAATTTTTTCCAGTTATTTCCACGAAAAGATAATAAAGACTGAAATCAAGATGAATTTCGTTGGAAAACAGTGTTTGAGAAATTTACAAAACAACGTTAGAAGTCACAATCTGCCGATCACAAGGCTCGGTAGAACTTTCACCTTTAAAAGCGCTTTATCTCTTGAGAATTTATATCCAGGAAGCAGACAGAAACTGCATACTCCAAATTTTGTTAGTGTATTTTAATTTATTTAACAATACTTGCAAGAAGATTTAGTGTTATTTATGTTTTGAGTAACATAACCTCAACTGATTGTTGCTTTTCAGGTACCGGATCCTAAAGCAAAGTTCAGTGGTTACATACCGTTGGATAAAATACAAATAACATATAGTGCTAGCAGCGGTCCAGGAGGACAAAATGTAAACTCTGTAAATACCAAAGTAGATTTAAGGTTTCAAGTGAACAATGCTACCTGGCTGTCGGAGGAAATCAGAACGAAATTATTGGAACAGGTGACTAGTATTATTTTACAAATGATGACTTAATCGATTAATTTAAATTATTAAATTAATATCCGATATCAATTTTTATTCTAAACATATAAAACAACTTCAATATAAAATTATTGTTTTAGAATAAAAACAAAATAAACAAAGATGGTTACTTGATAATTAAGTCAGATTTAACAAGATCTCAACATTTAAACTTGGCGGATGCTCTTGAGAAATTAAGGACAATGGTAAGAGCTACTTTTGTAGCACCACCAGAACCATCACCAGAATCGGAAGAGAAGAAGAGAAAAAAATTACTGAAAGCCGCTAGGGAAAGACTACACGAGAAGAGAATTCATTCACAAGTCAAACAAAGCAGACAAGCCTCTACATTTGATATTTAAGTCAATTAGTTCAATTATTTAATTATATAAGTGCTGTATAGTATATATAAATATAAACTATGGATAAAATAAAGAAAAAATATTAAAATCTATATGATTATTTTATAACTCTCAATAATGTGCTTAATTATAAATGGCAAACATTAAAGATGTTTAGTTAGCATGCGGATTAATGGAGTTGGACAACATCCTCCAGATGCATATTGTTTGATGAGTAAAGTTTTCAATCAATTTAGTTTGTAATTAATATCCAATAATAAAATTTTATAAAATTTTTATTGTACCTTATTTTTAGAAAAATTCGAGATAAAATAAAAAATTATATTTAGTTAACTTTTCTTCGAAATAAGAATACTTATAATAATTTGTTTAATTGTACATATAAAAAGTAGTTCTTGTTAATTTTTTTATACGCTTACTAAATAATTTAATGACATGATCTAAAATATGAATATTCTATTTATAATAAAAATTGTGATTCTAGTTCTTTCCCTTACCTGTTGTAATTACAAATAGTAAGTACAAGCCAATACCTACAAGTTTCTATGGTAACGTAAGCTGGAAATAAGTCAACACATTGCAAGTGTATCTCGATTACAGCAGTTAAACCTTAGTTTCTTATTGCTAAAAATGTCTTATCGCGAATTACGTAGTACGTAAATTATATAAATTTATTTATCTTTTATTTAGGCTTATAGAATTGATAATCTTTAAATATACGTGCACAAAATAGAAACATAATTTACTTTTGTTTGCTTATGTAGACTTCACGGAAATGATGAGGGTGCTAGGCTATCCGAGGTTGATTTCCCTTGCAAATTTTCGCATACCGAATTTTTCTCTGGTTGCGGAGATTCTGGTCTGGCTAGTGAAACGATTCGATCCGGATGTTGATATACCCACACACAGCGATCATGATACTGAAGACCAACGTGTGATGTTGATACGAAGTGTCGCTGAATTTATGGTAATATAAATTATAGTGAATATATATGTCTAATTACTAAAATTAAACATTTATTTTACATTATTCTATAATTAAATCAATATTATCTTTTTTTTCTCTTTTTTAAGTTTTACATTTGTTTGAACTATTTTTTTGTAGCTTTATTTAATTTAAAAATATTGTAGGCTTTTGTATAAAATAAAACTTCTATCGTATTCATATAATCTTTACTTTATAATATATATTTCTGTTCTTTAACGTTGAAAATTTCTCCAAGTTAATTTTTTAAATGCTTGTAAAAAATGTTCTAGATATAGCAAAGTATTTTTTATCTATAAATATCTGTTCTTTTTTTAATTTTACAATCTGACTTCTCTTCACTAAAAATATAAAGAAAAGTTGTTAGATAAATAGTAGTAGATAGTTTTGAGACAGATCAACATCATTTACAAATATTGATTATTTAATAATCAAAAATACACAATTTGATGTATTACAGGCATTAAAAACAAATATAAGGTTGAACACGAAAAAATTGTATCAAGCCGATGGTTACGCTGTGAAGGAAATGTTAAAAATGACGACGCTTTTGTATGATGCGCAAAATAGCAGTAATGCCGAGCAAAGTCGACCCAACAGTAAACAGCATACGGTGAATTTTGACATATCCGTTGAAATCAATGAACTAAAGTCAGCGCGTCAGCTTGCCAGTCAATTGACCATCAATGGAGCGACTCTTTTTGATTTGCTTGGTCGTGAAGTGGAGCTTCGAGAGATTCGCAATATTAAGGTTGCTAGGCAATTTGACACTTCAGAAATTGAGGACGCTTTAAAAGACGTTATCAAGAGCACACATAAAGAAATCGACGAAACGAAAAAGCAGATTGATAATGTCAAGGTAAACATTTTTATGGAATAAAATCTTCCAGGAAGCTAATAAACTGATTGTTCAATCTGCAAATGTTTAATTACACTGGTCTGCAAAAATAGATAATCTTTTTGTTACCTGAGAAAAAAAAGTAGCTCTTCATAGTTTTTATGTGTTGAATTCAAATCTGTCTTTAAAAAATACATATCACATTAGGATGTTTAGAAAGATAAAGAAAAATATACTAAAACTTACAATATTTACGATACTATTATATTTAACGCATAAAAAACTATGGAAAATTATTCTTCTTTCTCAAACAGATCCATGCTAGATCGCATTATTTCTTCCTGATTACAGTAATTTATTTAATTAATAAATGAGAGTGATTTTGAAGGATACAGAACAAAACTTGGATACGAGAATCGAGAGACGGCGAACGGAACTCGATAGGAATCAAAAAAGACTTTACACGTTAAAAAAAGTTCGTCCAGCATTTATGGAAGAGTTCGAGAAACTTGAAGTTGAACTGAGAGCTCTATATAACGATTATTTACAGAAATTCCGATATTTAGCATACTTGGAATACTTATATGAAGATGCGTCTAAGGCAGAGCAAGAAAGATTTGAAAGACGGTATTTATTATAAAATAAAATTATAAAATCTATATACACACTCATTTATTTTAGTTTTATGTCAAAGAAAATTGATTTTTAAAATTGGAGAATTAATAACATGTTTATGTTTATTTAAATTTGTATGATTTCTTGTCAACAATTTTGTCGACAAATCACTCTACATTCGGAGTTGTACTATTAACACCAAACTTTGTAATTGTATAATAAACTTGGTAATTGTATTATATAATCACACAATATTATTTTTAATTATAGGCAAACTGCAACCAAGAAGCAGTTGGAGCAAATGAGAGCCGAAGATTCAAACTTTGAAAGTATGATGGAAGGAAACGATTCTATATTTGCTACGAATCTTCAAGAGCCTTTGGTTACTCCTCTTACAAATTCCGAAAACGCAGCAGCAGAAAAATCTGGCCAGTCTACCAATGTCAAACCAAGTAATAACAATTTTTGTAATAAAGAATGCACAATATTAGAGTTTTGGAAAAACGAGTAAATGAACAAAATAAATCGTTTGAAAAGCGTAACAAAAAAATGTAAAGCATAATAATAATAATAATAATATACGTGTTATATGTTATTATTATTCTGTTATTATAAATTTCTCGGTTTTTAATAACAAATTAAAAATATTCTAGGCACCGCAAGAGCGTCAAAGATGCAATATTCTCAGCGGCGTATTTATGGTAGCATGTCTGGACGGCGAAAGGGTACGATTCAAGAATCAAATGATAGCGATGGTTCGTTAGATAGCGATAGCGACTTACTGATTGATGGCGACCTCGACGACGATGACGACGATGAGGATCTTTTGAATTCTGTGGGTGCGACGGACATTAACGGCTTTAATCTCAAGGCAAATCAAGAAAAACGATCTGTCAGTAAAATAGACAGACATTCGGACGATGACTTTTAATTTATCTAATGTCTGGATCATTCAGCATTTTGTATAATATTAGATAGAATGTAAAGATAAATTAAAATATGTATATTTTTTTTATCAACTTTATTTGAATTTGAAGTTTCTCTGTAATTAATTAATTAATATAAATAAAGATTAAAAGTCTAAAATCATTACATAAAGATTTAAAACGTAAAGTCAATAATAGGTACTATATAATTCAAAACTAATGATAAAATTACTTTATAACATAAATATATTAATTGATCATATTGTATCAAACCTAAAAATATTAATTTTACGACATTCATATCCATCGAAGTAGACGAATCCATTCAAAGATATACGCGTCTAACTTTGACGCTATTTGCCATTTTGGTAAAAAAACTAAATTGGATAGGATTCCATCTATGCAAGAATAAGAGAAGAATTCGAACAATAAAAGAATCTGAGTATTTATTTACGAACAAATATTTAACATTTAATTTATCAATAATAATAATAACAATGATAAATAATGACAACTGATGATTAATATGATTCATTTTTAAATGAGATATGCAACGAAGATTGCAGAGAGTCATAATTCAAGAAAATTATGAAGTTTATATTGTCCTAATATTATATTTATTAATTTCGTCAATATATAAGTCGATGTCGACATGTCGTCGTCGACTGTATTTCAGCACCAATCACATACACGTTACCTTATATCTATCTTATATGTCACATACATACGTATGTCACGTACGTGTGCGTGTATACACATATATACAAATATAAATGTGCGTGCGTGTATAAGAAACACGATTTTTCGCATTGATAAAGAAAGAAAGAAAGATTACTCATTAGTCACAACAGCATCCGGTGTGTAACTAACAATCAATCAATTTGGCTATTGATATCGGTCTTTTTATCGTCTCGTAAGTTGTACGTATTTAAAACATTTCATCCTTCTGTCAAGTTTATTTGTGCAGCTTTACCATCGATCTGTGTTTGCTCGTGCAAGTATATACAGCATGTATATACAAAGTATTTCGGTGTTCATTTATTATTTAATAATTACTAGCGACACTTAAATAATTCACCAGTAAAAACAGTTCAGTTAAAGGCAATATAATCATAGAACTTTCAAATCAATATCTATTATATATTCATCGCGTTTCAAATCAAAGAAAAGATGGTATTTTTGTTTATAACATTTTTTTTTAGTATGTTATGAAATATTAGGTATATTATTTTATTTTTAAATCAGCGAAGACTAATAATTTTACAACTTAATTAGTTATTGCAACTGTTAACAAATTGCATTATTTAAGGCCACTGTAACGTATAAAAAATTAGATAAGTTTTAAGAACTTTTTAAACTAGAAAAAAATGTGTAAGTATTTTTGTGTTTTAATATTAGTAATTTACATTATTAATTATTTTTATGCAAAATTCCATATAAAAAATTGAAAAATATTAAAAATGTTAATAATTTTTGAAAATGATGGTTTATAGAAAACTCGAAGTGATGACTTTAATTCAGTCTTGAGCGGTAATTAATAATAAAAAAAAACGCAATTAAAGTTTACATTGACTATTATTATTTCACAGTGGCTTAATACTTTAATATACCATTATTTATTCTTTACATTTTGTTTACTGGTGTATAAAAAATATAGAAATGAAATAAACAAATTTAATATTTAACATTTCGGTAATGCTTCGGAATGCATATTACATAAATTGCTATCCTAATTATTGATTTTATGGATATGCGTGGATAAGTTGTGCGGATTTACAAATATTAAAAAAAAAACTGATATACTCTTAATGTATAACAATACAATAGGTATAATATTTCGCTCGTCATTTATCGCCATTTGTATTGTTTAGCCTGATTTAGGCCGTCTGTAACAATGGTCGTTATCCTGGATGATCACATTTGCTGTGTGCGAACAAAAAATTGCAAGATAGAGATACAAGAATTTGTATAAAATTCTAAGAGAGAAGCACCTCCATGTAGCACAAGAGAAACAAACTCGATCGAGATTCGACAGGTTGTCTCCAGACCTTGCTAATCGTTTAAGAATCCGTCACATAGAAAAATATGATTAATCCGCGTTTTACTCAGAGCGTTGCGTTCTTTTCTTCTTCTTTTTTTTCTCATTTTACGGTAGTTTCTATTAATATAGTTCCCATTAACTTTTACCGTTATGCATCGTATATTGCTAGGCGTCCTCTTCTGTTTCGCGAATTTAAGGACGCGAGTTCGTCGAGAATTTCGTAAAAAAATGGGACCCTGCTTAGCTTAGTTTAAGAAAACTAAGGACCGCCGTAGTTATAGAAATAGGTTCTCCCGACTTTCGGCGTGCCAGTGAAATTGTGAACGTCCCACAGAATATCGACGACAGTCTTTCGCTACCTGATTGATTTGCCGAGCGGGTTGACTTTGATTCGCGGCGTCAACACCGGCACTGAATCGAGCTCCGGCAGCGAACATTCGGCGCGCAGTTCCGTCCAAGTCTTGTCAACGTTAGCGACGAGCCGTTCTCTGTACTTGTAGGCCGTCTTGTCAATGATCGACTGCGTTTTGATGCAGTCATCACCACCGAACTCGCAGACGCGGTAATGATGCAGAATCGCGGCGTCGGAGGGCACATTTAGGGTACCATGACCCGGGATGAACTCCCACACAAAATGATTCCCCGCCTCTACTACGTCCTGCGGCTTGCAGATATATTTGGAGCGTTGCTTATGCGGATGCAGTTTAGTCCTGCGCCGAGTTTTCTTCAGAGTGATCAAATTGGCCTCAATGGGAGTGCGACTGGATACAATAAACGGATCATCGGCCCATTGTAAGTAGAAAAAGGCATTTTGGAAGGAAAACGCGCCCGTGGATTTAACGTTGATCCGATTTCCCATCCATCTGGAAATACAATTTGTCGCAAAATTACGCTATACGTAACGCACATACGATATATAGAATCTACGCTTAGATGAAGAAGGTATCGTACCGTAGCAAATCAATTATGGTATCGTTGTGCCTTGGTATAATATATTCGTCGAGATCTACGAGTGCCACATATTCGTACTTGTACATAGATCGATAGAGACAGTCGTTGAGCGCCGCGAAGAGACCTTCCGTGCGAATTTCCCGCTGGGAAATCATGTCGAGATGATGCCAGGGTAATACCGTAACTAGATCTTTACTCTCGTAATACTTCAGCGCGCAACCGGCCGCCGCTCCTACGGTATCGTTGTACAGAGTGACGTGAGTGGCGCCCAGGAGTCTGTGCAGCTCGATAAATTCAACTAATTGCAAAACCTATAAGTGTAAGCGACAATTAATTGTTATTTTCAGACGTGGCAAGTGCCAGCAGAGTTTTAGATGACAAATGTCGTCCATTTGACCGCTGCTTATGCGAACTACTCACCCTGTTATAATAATAGTGTAGAGGCTTGACGCAAATAGCCAGAGATTCTTTGCCGTTCGTCCTGCTTTCGTGACGATTCTGAACGAGAATACGATTCGTCGGGGCCGCTCGCAACCTCGCCACGACGCTGACTGCTTCCGGCACTTTGTTTGTCATCGGAGATTCTTTAGGCAACGGACAGATCACGAAACAAGCGCTATACTTGAGATTCCAATTCTCCCGGATCACCTGAAAGCCGCAGCGCAAATATCGTCACGCGTTCAATCATACTGGAACTTAAGGCGATACAAAACCATGGAATACATTGAAATCACAATTACACCGTTCTGCATGGATTTATCGATTCGTAGTAACAGTTTTATGCAGAATCGCATGCTTCAACGTGCTCTTTTACTTTACGTATGGTTATGTCATAAGATTACGACGCAATGAAGAAATAGCGTATAAAAATTATGAAGAATAAAATGATTACAAATGTTGGAATATGAAGATGATAAAAATAAGAGTGTTAACAGTAGAGAGATTTATTAAAATGTAATTACTTTTAGGAAAAACGTACCTTAACTTTAGCAGCTACCGTCACCGAGGCAGTGACATTTGCACCATTTTGCTGTTGATACCAAAATCTACACCAAACGCGTTCCGGGCCTCTGGTTTTGGTAGCGCTTATCACACGTACTATACCTGGATTTTTGCCCGCCGATATGCTCGCGCCGCTGACTCTGTCGTCAAAGTATGCCGAGTAAACGAAGAATTTAAACCTAGAATGACCAAGCAAAAATCACATTAACTTATTCAATTTCTGATGCATAATTTCATTGTTATTTTTTTCTAAATGTACACAAAATAGAGGAAAAAATGAGTACCAAAAGCGACATGTCTTTTAAATAGACATCTCCTTCGTTTCTCTTGTTTCTTTCCAATATTTGCTATTTAATTTGATATTTGATTAATTATACGAGAATAGTCCAGAAAAGAGATATAAATGCAATAAAAATGTGGAGCAATGCAGCCGAGAACGGCTAAATGCATAATACGGCATCGTGCATATTAATGGCTGCATCGAGACGTTCAGGTGCCTAAAATTAACCAATTTTCAAATTGCTCGGCTTGCTTGTAACTCGGCAAAAAATCATCGTAGACAAAAAATTAAAAAAGCATTTTAAAGCTTAAAACTGGCACTTTCTTGTTTTCTAAAAAAATTTTTTTTTAAGTTTTAAGATGTTTTTTCAATTTTTTGTCTGTAATGATTTTTCGACTTCCGATAATTTAAAAATTGCTCAATTTTGAGCGTCTAAAAAGTGCTGACTATTTTTTGTAGAGTAGTTAACATTAAAAGTATTTCTATTTGATTTTGCGATAGATGCTTTTTTATTTTTATTATGTTTCTATCTTTACTGTCTGCACTACTCTCGTGCGATTATCATGTAGAAACGGACAAACCTCGTATTAGTGACTGGCAACCATTCGGCATGCGTGATCTTCAAGTTTTGATCTAGCTGCGGTAAACGGGCTTCCAAGCTGGGCGGTAATCTCGGTAAGCTACGCGGATCTGGGCGTATTACTGTCTTCTGCTCACCGTCTTCTCCGTGAACTAATAATCCAACGTGCTCATCGAAACTACCCTTCAAACCGGCATAATCTTCAGCCTGAAAATATCAAGACTCTAATGACTTCTGTGTCACTCAAAGTGAATTTTGAGCTATCGATATCTATCAATCTATTTATTCAGATCATCCGTCGTCCATGATAACGATAAATGTATAATAACATAAAAACATGTATATTAAATATTTGCACACTTCATCCTTTTGAGATAATGTTATATATATTATAAAAAAGACAAAAATATTTCAAGATGCTTTATCCAATAGTAATATATCTAATTATTATAAAAAATAAAATAACAATAGAATATTTAATTTTATTCAAAATTTTAGAAAGAAAAATTCTTCTTTCGTAATATACTTACCCCCACTTCGCCGTAATCCGGACGATCGGGTGCAACTGGCAATCGATGGCCGCTTCTGTGACCGCCGAGTACGCCGGTGCCGCCGACGCTCACGCCGCGCCTCTCATCGATCAAGAATATTTCCGTAAGAACAATGAGACCGAACACAGCAAAGAACATAACGACCAACATGAACGACATATTGGCGCGCTCTTTGAGGACGCCGGCGTTCGCCCGGCTCCCGCCGGAGCCGGATCTTCGACTCGAGCTCATGCTCGAGAAGAGACTCTGCAAATGACAATCTTTTTTTAGAAAGTTACTCTTGTTGAAATTAAATCCAAATTCAACACCTGACTTGTGAGCTTCGCAAAACAACATGTAAAATACATAATCAAATTGTGTATTGTAAAAAATTGTAAGATGCTTCAATGTAGATAAATAAAGAGAAACTAGATTCATTAGAAAAAGTAATTAATTAATTAAATACAGGACAACGTAATTGATGTATCAATGTTGCTAACTCGCGATGGTTTTGTCGTTGGCGGACTATAAAATGCGAGTCGAAAAAATTTTGTGCACGTGTCACTAGAGATGTGAATAATAAAGGTGCATCTCTGCAAATGAATACAAATAACATGTGGCTTTCGCGATATGAATTTCTTTCCGTATTTGTACAATGTACAAAATTTTGCATTTTGATCATGTCGCATGCTATATAAAATCGATATTTTCTCGAATGGTTCCGAATTCTCATTTATAATTACGTTTTTCTATACTATATGTTTAATACAATATATGTGCAATGTAATATTTTAAAAAATCTAATGTTATACAAAAAATATTTTATAATTTAATATATTGTATTTACACAAATGTACACGCACTGACTGTGATGTCCCTCGAGGCGTGTATTTGACGTGTCACTTGAAACGAAGAGCAGAGCGAGCAGCGAGAGGAAAACTTGTAAAAGACATTCTGATTCTGCATTCTTAGCGCAAGATGGACGATCGACGCTTCAAGTGACGTACAATACGCGCCTCGTGCGTGTGACATATTTCATATACGTGTACCCAGCATAAAACATAAAGAAAAAAAACGCAACTATACGCAAATGCGAGAGATACAAGTTGATTTTCACTCTCAGTGTATAATTTCGCTGTCGGATAAAGCCTTTGCATCTATTTATATTGCGGAGACAAATATGGGCATAAAAGAACTAAATAAAAAAATTATTAATAACATTATCGGTTGACTTACTTAAAGTGGTTTCGAGAAAATCGCTGCTAAGCATCGGGACGATAGCTTCTTCTGAAAATATAAATTATGAATATTATTAGTTTGTTTTTCCTTTCACGTTCCAGATAAAATTTAACACAATTCGCGCGCTTGGTATAAATACCCTGGTAAAAAATATTCTCAGAATTTTTCATAAAAATTTTAAGATTTTTTACAAAAATTTTATAACTTTTTCAGAAAATTTTAAGATTTTTTATATGAATTGGCACACTTTTCAGAAAAGTTCAGAAAAGAAATAAAAATATATGAAAATATATGAATAAATTCATTATTTCACATATTTTCCAGATCTGTATATGACAAATTTGTGCACCGTATTTAGTGCTTCAATGTTCCAAACATCCTTGACCATTCGCCTGAAGATGTTTCGGTGAACTGCAAAGATGCAGGACGATGTTAAACTCGGGACAAAGTTGTGCAAACTCTTGCGAAGTGAATTGAGTACCGTTCTCGGAAATTAGTACTTACCTTTGTTAGCTCTGGTGAAAAAACATCTCATAATTTCCTAGAAAATTTTAAGAATTTTTCATAATTTTATTTTATGAAAAATTCTGAGAAAAAATTTCTTATTCATTCATATTTTTAAAACATTTTTTAGGAAATTATAAGAAATCTCAGAATAAGATAATATTTCATTTAACGGTACAAATTAACGCAAGTACCCAGACAGCACGCATGTCCAAAATCGAGACATAAGACGGCTTAAAGACGTCATTAAGACGCCTTTTAGACACGGTATCTAAAAGATGTCTTAATGATGTCTTTAAGATGTTTTATGTCCCGATTTTAGACATGTGTGCTGTCTGGGTATATATTTCTATTCTATCTTTTTCATTAGATGTCAAACACAGAATAAAACATGTATTAACATGTATGTTAACGTGACATTCTATGTTTGATATCTACTAGAAAATAAATATAGAATGACACGTTTTTACATTACTAAATGAAATGCATTCAAAGATAAGGTAAAAAAATAAAAGCTGATAAATCGTATATTTTTTAACTTGTAAAAATATTTGATATTTCTAAAGGCCTGTGTCCACGATGCAAGAAATTGGTTCGAGTTCTTAACCCAAAATAGTTGGATTGCTTCAAGAAATGTGTAACCAATCAACTTGCTGTTTTTCCATAAGAACTTCAATTTAATTGGCTATACATTTCTCGGACCAAGAACTTGGACCAATTTCTTGCATCGTGGAC